CACCAGATTATGTAGTTAGATTATGAAATTACCAGTAGACTATGATGTCACCAATATATTATGAAGCTACCAACAGACTATGAAGTTACCATTATATTATGAAGCTACCAGCAGAGTATGAAGTTACTACTATATTATGAAGATACCGGCAGAGTACGAAGTTACTACTATATTATGAAGATACCGGCAGAGTATGAAGTTACCTTCATAACCTAATATAAGTCGCTGGTAACTTCATGATATAATTATATCATGAAGTTACCAGCGACTTTTCTGATTAGTTGAAATTATATATATAAAGTTATAAAAAAGTTAGCTTTTCAAATTTGTTTACAATTATTATTAAAATCTAATATAACTGATATATTTGATTTGGATTACCAATAAATAATAATAAAAGTATTATATAATGATTAGCATTATTACTATTAAAGATAGCATTACAATTAGTTATAATTATATACAGTTAACTCTTGATATAGCAAACTCTTAATATAACAAATTTTTTGAATAAATATAATAAAAATACTCTTGTTATAGCAAATTGGCTAATCAAATCTCTTAAAATCTTTACTATAACCTTATAGCAAAGTTGAAGTCTAAGACATAGAGTTTATTATAACAAGAATTGATTGTAATATTTATTTGTCACTAGTTACAATTAGTTATAATGTTATTTTTAATATATATTGCATTTATAATAAATTAATGTGAAAAAAGGATTAATTTAATTTAGACATTTTTGTTTCATCTTAGTATATTAATTAATAATATATTATTATATAAGTTATATACTTTAAAATTAGTGTTATATACTTTAAAACTAGTCTTTATCTCTAATCTACAATTTATAAGAATAAAATTATATTAGTATTATTTTTTATTTAAGTATCTATAAAATATATATCTATATAGGTATTTTACAGTAAAAAGAAAAAACTACTAAAAAAATTTTTTAATTGTATAAATTAAATATTATTTTTTAATAAAATAAATCCAAATTTAATGTTAATTCAAAAAATTTTTTTTGGTAATTCTACTGCAAAATGTCTATAACCATTATTTTATTTGAAAATATAATATATAATAAAAGGATCATAAGATAGATGAAATTTTGATATTATTTATAAATAATCATTATGTGATTTAAGAAGGATATCTTGATTAGACAAATATAACTCATAGTTATTATTAACTATAGTTACAACTATTTTAGAGATTATAAATGTATTGTAATGACAGATATCTTGTATTCAATTATCATGAATAATCATTGTGATTTTATCAATTACATTTGTCAAAATTTGATTTCTCATAAGATAAAATTTTAGATATATTTGTTTCTGATTTTTCCTGACGCAGTATGTTGATCAATTTTGATGATGTAATGCAGATCTTCCTTAATATGATCTATATGAAATTAAATGATTTTTGCAAATCATCTTTCTAGAGCTAATTTGCGTTGACAATGATTATCAAATAATTTGTTTAAGTAGCGAATATTTTATATAAATTAAACTTTAAATTTTAGCATTTATTATAGTATTACAAATTATTTGTATTTAAATTTTATCAGCGTAAAATAAAATGCTCAATTTTGTTAAAAATTAGATTTGAATGTATCATCGTCATATTATCATCTATAAATTTTTCTTGGCAAAGTAATCGTCGTAAATCTGTATCGCACAGCGTCTAGTTACAGTAATTCGAAAATTTGAGGTAAAGAACCAATTAACATGGCATCAGTAAACATCATCTTTCGTTGAATTTTAGTAAAAGCTGAGAAATCACGAATTGCAAATCTAAAACATAAATTTGTCACTTGTGAAGTTACTATCGAGTGTATTATCTCATTCGTATAACGCTTTAACAAATTTTATAAGCATAAGAGTGAAATCACGACAATCACAAAAAATTTAAAATTTTTTTAGTTCAAGGTATTTATTAGTTTATTTATTTGTATTAATTACCGGATTTATTACAATAATTTTCTCTAAGTAATAAAAAAAAAAAAAAAATAACAAATAAACAATAGAATTTTACACTGTATTATAAATGAGCAGGCTCGGAAAAAAAAGAATGTTAAGGAGGAATTAATGGATCATGTAAAAAATTTTTTTTCTACGTGGTTTACATTTTAAATCTATTTGACGGATTTAAGGATTTTTTCGCATTTTCTTTTTTGACCTGGGGCTACATTCTTCTTTGCCAACATTACTTTGCATTTAGCAGCAGCCTTCGAAAGTCTTTTTGATTCAGCGGTTTCCTTCTTGACTTCCCTCTTGACGACTTCCTTGGTTTCTGCTTTTCCAAAATTTGGCTTTTTGTTCAATTTTTCACCTTTGGATACGAAAGGTGGTGGTCTCTTGTTAACTTTAGTTGGATCTTGGGCTTGGAATACTCCAATAAGTTCCTTATTTTTTGGTCTCTTGTCACAGAAGTTTGAGGGTTGACCTAATAATGGGGTATTGCGCTCAAGTTTACGATATGCGATAGCAATCTTGATAAGCTGGGCCTTCTTATTTTTATTTTCTTTAATTTAATATTTAATAGTAATTTTTAATTTAGTAATTAAATACAAAAAATGATTATTCAACTTCAAAGGGTTAAAAATCTATATAACTTACTGAATTTTTTGGCAATTGCGATGACTTTATCAGCAACGTTTTGTTGTCCGCAAGCTGGGGCACCGGCCAATAAATTATCGACGGCTAAACCGGATAAGTCACCAAGTCGTTCACCGAAAGGAGTACCAACGGCGGCAGCTCTCATTCCTCGGAAAGTTGCTTCGGCTGCTGGTGTATGTTCTTGTGTGAATCGTCCATCGGTGACAGCTGCAATAGCTGCGAACGCAATGATGAGTGGTGTGAATTTCATTTTTGATATGAATTAAGTAAACAAAAAAAGAAAATGAGAGTAAAAAAAAATGGTAAGCTAAGGAAGGATGAGGGGAGAAAAGGAAGGGAGGTGGTTGGCCTGCTCACAAAAGAGTGTAGAGTAGGGAATTAAGTTGATAAAATTTGTAAAATATAGTGGTTGAATTTTAAAGATGAGTTGAATAAAGGTATATTTATACACATTTCGAACCTTTAGTCGGATATGATAAAAAAACTTCTTAACTAAAAATAGAGGTGGTGAAACAATCGAGGGAGTTGCATGTTTTGATCTTACTTTATTGGTAAGACTTCAACAAACCCAATCCTAGTTATCAAATAAATTAAATGATTGTGTACAAAAAAGAGATGACTTCTTATTTAGAGAGTGGAATTCGTTAAGAGAGTTGCTATCTAATCTTAATGTTGTTATCACAAGTGAAATGTGACATTTTTATTTTTTTGATAACGAAGAAACCTATTAATATTATTGGCCGTGTGAAATCAATTTTGTAAACGATGCAAAGCGCACAGAAATAATAAGAACTCATAGCGTACTAAATAAATTTTTTATTTTCGCTCAACAAATTTCCGCATATTTCTAATAAGGAGTTACAATCAGGGAGGTACTTTTGTTACTTTCTTGGAAATTTTTAATTTAGATAATCGAGGAAAATATATTTTGCGCAGCAACGTTGAAATACAAAGTGCGTTGTGTCCGAACTTTAAATTAATTAAATTAAATTGGTATATAAGGTTACCATAAACGTCAATTAAAAATTACTTGATGCAAAGATGCAAGTCATTACGATCAATTCACGAATAATGAATGGTTGGAAATGCGTTATGTGTTAATGTGCACGCCCAATAATATGCATTTTATTGTCGAACAAATCATTGAATTTACGTCACGCAATATCACACGTGTAATAAAATCATAAAAGGAGATACGGCCGAAAAAAGTACAAAAATAATATTAAAATATGTCACCACCTTAATTTTGTGGACCCCTTAATGATTACTCTGTGGTACCAAAGAGTTTAACAAATTTTTTACTCGTTTAACTGCGCCACAACTCTCAGTCTCACGTAATTTACCGTCCATTTACCAGTTTCCGAATTATATGCTTCATCCTTACAAATCCTTTCGATTTCACTTTTAACCGTTTCTTTTTCATGATCATTCAAAGGAGCAAAGAAGGAAAATCCAAATGTTTCGACCCATCCGCCAAGTGAAGTTGGTAATTCTGTTGGCCTTGGAAAGTTAGAAATGAAGTCGACGCTAAATTTATATTTGTTTAAAAGTTGTATGTAATCTTCTGATGATGGGAAGTACCTAAAGTTGGAAAATTTTTTTAATCAAGGGATAAAAATACAATGATTGAATCAATTTGAATTCTGTTTTTACCATGGTGAAAGTTCTTTTCCATTGTAACCGCGTTCATCTAAAGACCTAATTAAGGACTTTTCAACAACTTTATAAATAAAATATGTTAAAAATTCAATTATCTAATCTGACCCAAAAGTGATGATCATACATATGAAGTATTTTACTTTGTACATTCCCGGAACTTCCCAATTCTACGACAAATCTGCCACCATATTTGAGACTCTTTGCGATACCTTCGATCACAGTTTCTTGATTCTTCATCCAATGAAGCGCTGTAAAATAAATTTTTAAATTTTTTTAAATGATAAAATTTTTTTTTTTAAAAAAAAAATAATCATTACCTACCAGCATTTGAAAACACAGCGTCAAAGTAACCAATAAAGCCCTCTTGATTAATCCACTCGACCAATTTTTCACCATCGACCACCCTTACGTTTTTACATCCATTCGTTTTGGCTTCCTCAATCATGGATTGACTTTTATCAATTCCAATACATTCTTTACACATTTCTTGAATTTGACATGTTAGCACCCCATCTCCACATCCTAAATCCAAGATTCGTTCATGTGATTTCGGAGAAAGGAGTGCGAGAAGATCATGTCGTACCAGGTTTGGTACAAAGTTGGCATGAAGTTTATAATTTGTTGGTGACCATGGATCGATTTTTTCTTTGTTATCATCCATCTTGTAAGGATGAGAAAAAGTTTACTATGGATGTGTTCATATTTATAACTCTTTTTTTTTACGCGTAATTGTACTTCGAGTGAGATGACTCGATTTAAGTCATAAAATCGATTGATGAGTCAAATTAGTTTTGTCCCGACTTAAAAATTTTGTGTTCCGGATTTTTTTTCCGGAAAATTTTTAAAATAAACGGATTTTCATCCGGCAAATTTTTTTTTGTACGGCACATAATTTATCCAATTTGATTAATGATTATCAATTTTTTTTTTTTTTTCATTTGCACTTTCAGTTATAAAATGTCTATCGAAATAATATTTCGAAGAGAATCCGAAGAAAACATATAAATCGATGATATTGAATATAGTGATATAGATTCAGATTTAGAAGGAACTTCTATTGACGTACCAATTACAATTTTTTTATGATAACAACCGGTTAATTTAATAAAATTCCAGAAAAGGTCTGATAAAATATTCTTTTTTCCGGATCCTCAGCCGGTAAAATATTTGCTTTCCGGACTTTTGGCCGGTAAACTTTGATTACTAAAGATTTTTTTTTTTTTAACATTTTCCTCTTTCCAAATTCTCGGTTATTTTTTAAAATTTTGTTAACTGCAATATAAAGGGAGAAACTGCCGGGAAAAATAAAAAAATCGAGTTAGTGCTAAATCGGAACTTGAAAATCATATTTGACATATGAAAGTGAAGTGAAATGGATTTCTTCCCCCTTTCTACTGCAATAAAGGATTTCCAAATCAGGGTTTGGAGTGACTTTCTGAGACGAACAATGAAAAGTTCATCGGATTTGATCATTTTAGAATGGTCCCTTTATTATTTTTTACGATTAACTAAACCTGAAGACATATTCGGTAATTCTGAATCTGGAACAATATAAATGAGAAGCTAAATTTTTTGATGACATAAACACGTGAAGGTCCAATTTGATTGTTCAAGCAGGTTTTTTTTTATTAAATATTGTTTAGATTTAAATTGTAAGCACTAATTATGTCAACAAAGTAAGTCGCATGATTTGATTTTTATTAGGTACAGTAAAAAGGATTTCAATTTTAAATTCCAAATTTGGTCATCATTTTTTTTTTAATTATGTACAATAATAATCTTATGACCTTTGAAACCTTTTTTTTTCTTCTTTAAAAGTAAAATAAAACGAAAAAGGAAGAATGATATTTATACAAATGCTGTTCTAATATACAACTAATCTTACAATAAAAAAAAAATATATAAATATAAATATCTTCACATTCTAAGACGTTTGTGTAACCTTTTTAATAAATCTTTGCAAATTGTTCGAATAATTTTTCTTGAATCCTTTTCAAGATGACTATAGCAACATCTTCCCACTTAACTTCCAACATCACATCATGAGCAACATCCCTAACGATATCAACCTTAATTCCGCCATAACTTTTACCTAGCTTATCCAAAACATCAACCGGTATGATACAATCCTTTTCTCCGCCAATGATAATCATTGATTTCAATAATTTCTTTTGATTCAAGATTTTTTTCATGTCGATAAACGTTGTAAGTGTCTGTAAATTTACTTTTGTATTGAAAGTTCTTTCGAATTTAGAGTGATATTGATCGAGTAGATCCTTTGGAAAGTTTGAAGAAAAGTAAGCTTTTCGAGCTCGTTCGGGAGTGGAAATTAAGAAATAGGGATTTTGAAGAAGCAAAGCGGATAACGTCGTAAGTGATACGCTCGAGAACCAATTTGGAAATGAATAAATCGAACCGGTCGGAGGAATCGAGCAGAGCAAAACGCATGAAGTTACTCTATCGGATGAGTTTTCTAAATATTTTTGACATATTGCTCCACCCATCGCATGGCTAAGATGAACCAGAAAGATTAAAAAATATATAAATATATATATTAAAGACGTGATTGAAAGAAAATTCTGATTTCAAAAAAAAAAAAAAAAAAGGGTTTTGATCTTACCCAATTATTATCGGTTTCGAAAGACCATTTGCAATTAAAAATTCCACAGCAGAAGAAACCTAAAAAGTTAAAGGTACGGATTTAATAATAGTCTTTAACCTTTTCAAAATAAATTGGTCAAATATATACATCTTCCACGTAGTGTTCCAAAGTCCACGTTGAATCTTTTCTCGGTAATTTTGTACTTTCGCCATGTCCACGTAAACTAGGTTCATCGTGTTAAATAAATTTCAATCGATTTTTTTTTTCTATTCAGAAAAGGTTTCAATTATTGATTTACCTTAAGGCAAAACAATCAAATCCTCTACCAGAGAACCATCCAAGAAAGTTTTCCCAACACCAAGCCGCATGATATGACCCATGAACGAATAATAAAGGTGGCAATTTGATGTGTTGTATCTGAAAAGAAATGAACGATTTTAACGACAAAATATCAATGATAAATCATCTCTTAAAAATGAATTTCCTTTAATTGATTTTGGATTCCTTTTTCTAATATAATCAACAAACCTTGTTCGTTCCGATATTACATAGTAGTTCCAATTGAGTATTATCGGTGGAATCAATGAAAATGGTTTTATAAGTAGGGAGATATTTTGTTGAATATGACATTTATTGCTTAAAAAGACTAAGTGAAAAATTGAAGGTAATGGTATAATAATATGTAAAAGGTGAAAATAGATCGTTTGCGAATAAAATTTTTGGAAAAAAAAAAAAAAAAAAAATAATAATAATTTTTAATATAGTTATATATACTTTTTTTTTCCTGAACAATGATAAAATCGATTACGGATCGAAATTATGCAGTTTGAAAATCAAAAAGGTGTTTACAAGTCATAAATATTGTGCACGTTAAAAAAAAAGGGAATTGAAAGTCAAAGGTAAAAAACTAAAAAACATTATTCCACATATGAAAATCTATTTATGACTGACATTAAAAAGGAATGATCTGGTAATCTAGCCCCCCTTTCATTTTGTTTACATTACTATAGTAAGTTAAAATTTTCATTATCTTTCTATCATTTATGCACAATGATGGTGAAATGTTTTAATTTATAATTTCTTTATCAAAATTTGATTTTAGTTATCTTATCGTTTATTTGATAAAAAAAATTACGTTATTCGGCCATTGTCACGAGATCATTCTAATATGCAATATTCTGCAAAATATGCAAACAATAGACATCAATAAAATAACCGGATAAAAATAGCGCTATATGTTGTGAATCACGGACCACCTTTAAGGGCAGTTTTATCATCTGGTAAATCGTCAATAGCGAAACCTATTAAACCATACTATTTTTGTCAACTTTGTAGCCGGGATTTGTCATAACCGAAATTAATGTTCATAATATCCCGAAATTTCTATTGAATAAAAGCCGAATTGTTGCCTTTTTTCAAAAAAAAAAAAAAAAAAAAAAATAGGGGCCTGTGATATGCTGAAAATCGGATATTCACGGGAAGACTCAAAATCACATATTGGACCTCAGCCGGAAAAATCAATTTTACTTTTATATGCCAAATATGATTTTAGGTCAAAATATGTTCAGATTCATTTTTTATTTTTTCCAGCCATTTCCCCCTTTTCTATTGCAAAGGTCCCATATTGTCACCCTTCCCGGTTATGTATCTGCTTTTAATTCGTTTTCTTTTCATGCACGCTCAATTATTGTATGTCCCTCACTAAAATGTACTTCATCTCTAAATAATTTCATTCAATGTTACACACCTCTAAATGGTCGATTATGAGGGGTGCATCAACATATAGAGAACTTTTATACTAAAGCTTTATTTGAAGAAATTTGATGAATAATAAACGATTATATGCTTTTTCACGACCTGATTGGATAGTCGTAGTATTTTGCTTACAAATTCTTTTTTTCCAAATATTTAAAATATTTATCTATTAAATTTCGAGTGTTGACATCATCCAAATAAGAAAGTTGTTCGGAATAAGATTCTTCGTTATACGCTTTGGAAATGTTAATTCTTAACTTGAAATCACTTTATTATAAAATATAAAGTATAATGAACATTTTAAGCAGAATTATATACTAAATCGTTAAAATTGTCCAATTTCTTCAAGATAACCAACTGTTAATTGTTTTTTATACATACGCCCTCAATCGAAGGAATTTCACCTTCGATTTTAATTATACGGTCTAAGCTGAATAGTCTTAATGACCGTTTCCAAGCCGGATGTTGCTAAGACTTTAAAGTTGTTCCTAAAAAAATACAATAAAATTTAATTTAATTTTTTTTTTTTTTTACAATTACAGGCAAATGGTAAAAACAATGTGTTTAATTATACTTACATTTCTTCAATTATAGCGTAATTTATTTCTTTATTGGTTTCATTATTTGCTTCATGTCTTTGGTTTTCTAAACAAAAAAAAAAAAAATTTTTTTATAAAGAAATAAATAAATTATATGAGACAAACTCCTTACCTGAGACTTCATAAAATTAATATGTTACGAAAACCACCGGGAACAGTAAGGTTGCCGGGCAAAACCAGGAGGTTTAGGCATTGAAATTGAAACCTGTCGAAACCCGTCGTCGAAATCCATCGAAATCGAAAGGTTTCGACCTTTGCCAAAATGGATTAGGGTTTTGCTCCGCAACCTTAGCTCCTTTACTTTATCATAAAAATTGTTGGCATCATCTTTTCATCGAAGTGTACAGACCCAACCCTAATTTTTTTAAAGTTATTTTGTAAAGTCAATTTAATAATTTGCAATTTCTTCACCAAATTAACAAATTCGAACCTCTCATTTTTTAACCACTTCTCAATACTCAAATAACTCACCCCCATAAAATCTCCTTCAAAAATAATTTGATTCTCCAAAATATTACAGCATGTTCGTTCTTTGTAAACGGATAAATCTTTTTTAAAGAAAAAACGGAAAATTTATATAAAAAAGTAGTTGGGTAATGTAATATCTTCAGGTGGTGACTAAGATAAATCGATGGCTAAAATTGCCAAAAGTTTCTCCGACTGTTGTAAGAAGTAGACCTTACAACAGGTGTATGGAAACCGTTG